ATAATTTAAAATTATTTTTAATTTATATAAAAAAATATATTATAACGAGTTATCCAAATTATAATACGAATTCTTCCTCCAAACATTGTTTTCTCCTCTTTCCACTCCTCTTCTAAATACTTATGCTTACTTGCTGTCTTGCCCTCCGCTCCTCCTTAGTACCACCAATACGGCAATACCCCACCACACCAAAAAAAAAAAAAATTTAAAAAACCAAAATATAATTACAACAAAACCCACTAACACAGTCACATTCCATTTTCTCATCAACCTCACCAGTCACCACCTTCCTTCATCTCATTTCCCACCCTTCCATGGCCGCAACGGCTACATTTTTGTTCTTCATTTTCTTCTTCTTGACAAGCTTAACTTGGGCACAGCAAAGAGCCAATGGTAGTAGCAATCCACACATATTGTCCGAAATCCAAGCTTTAACGTCCTTCAAGCTCACCATCCACGACCCACTCGGACACCTGGACGGCTGGGATGCGTCCACGCCGAGGGCTCCCTGCGACTGGACCGGCGTCGTCTGCCACCAGAACCGAGTCCGCGAGATCCGCTTGCCTCGTCTCCAACTCGGCGGCCGACTCAGCCCCCGACTCGCTGAGTTACGCGAGCTCCGGAAGCTGAGCCTCCACTCCAACAACCTCAACGGCTCCATCCCTCCTTCTCTCTCCCGATGCGCCCTCCTCCGCGCCGTCTATCTCCACAACAACTCCCTCTCCGGTGGCCTCCCGCCGTCTCTCCTCAACCTCAACAACCTCCAGGTCCTCAACGTCGCCCGCAACTTCCTCTCCGGCAAAATCGCCGCCGTCATCTCCCCCGCTCTTCGATACCTCGACGTTTCTTCCAACGCCTTCTCCGGCGAGATGCCGGCCAACTTCTCCTTCTCCTCTCAGCTCCAGCTCATCAGCTTCTCCTTCAACCGCTTCTCCGGCGAGGTCCCGGCGGCGATTGGAGCACTTCAACAGCTCGAATATCTATTTCTAGACTCCAACCGGTTGTACGGAACTCTTCCGTCGGCGATCGCCAACTGTTCCTCTCTCGTCTACTTGAGCGCCGGGGACAACTCGCTCCGAGGTCTTATTCCGGCGACCGTCGGAGCGATTCCGAAGCTTCAAGTCCTCTCCTTGTCGAGGAACAACTTTTCCGGTTCGGTTCCGGTGAGTCTGCTCTGTAATCCTTCACTGAGGATTGTGGATATTGGATTTAATGCGCTCACGGGGATGGTCAAGCCGCCAAATGGAAAAAGAGCAAGTTCTTCTTCAAGTGGTTTGGAATGTTTGGACCTTAAACAGAATCACATACAAGGCTTGTTCCCATCTTGGTTGACTAGTTTGACGACTTTAAGAGCTTTGGATCTTTCTGGAAACTTCTTCACCGGTCCAATGCGGGTTCAGATTGGGAATCTTTTAAGGTTAGAAGAGCTGCGGTTAGCGAATAATTCGCTGTCCGGTCAAGTTCTTGATGAGGTTTCTCAATGTGGATCGTTAAAGGTTCTTGACCTTGAAGGTAACCAGTTTTCCGGTCAGATTCCGTCACAGTTAGGAGGGCTTAAGAGCTTAAAGGAGTTGTCTTTAGGCCGTAACTTTTTCTCCGGTTCGATTCCGACGAGTCTCGGAGCAATCTCGGGGCTTGAAACGTTGAACCTGGGAAGTAATAATCTTGGTGGAAGAGTTCCTGAGAAGCTCATGAAGTTGAGTAATTTGACTACGTTGGACCTCAGTAACAACAAGTTGTCTGGAGAGGTTTTGAGGGACATTGGGGAGTTGAAGAACTTGCGGGTTTTAAACTTGAGTAATTGCGGGTTTTCAGGGAGATTTCCCACAAGTATCGGGAACTTGATGAAGCTTTCTACTCTGGATTTGAGCAAGCAAAGTCTTTCTGGGCAGTTGCCAGTAGAGATATTTGGTTTGCCAAGTCTACAAGTGGTTGCTCTCCAAGAGAATCGTCTATCTGGCGATGTCCCTGAAGGTTTTAGCAGCTTGGTTGGTCTACAATATTTGAACCTCTCTTCCAATGTCTTTACTGGTGATATTCCTACGACATATGGATTTCTTCGGTCGTTAAATGTTCTGTCATTGTCAAGCAATAGAATTTCTGGTGTGATCCCAGTTGAGATTGGCAACTGTTCGGAGCTTCGAGAACTTGGGCTTCGTTCAAATCGGCTTGTGGGCAATATTCCTGGCGATATCTCTGGCCTTTCTCGTTTAAAAAAGCTTGATTTGGGTGAAAATAAATTGACTGGTGAAATCCCAGAGGAGATCTCCAAGTGCTCTTCTTTGAGTTCTTTGTCGTTGGATGTGAATCAACTTTCAGGACACATACCAAACTCACTGCCAAGACTGTCAAACCTCATGGAGCTGAACTTGTCGTCTAACAGATTGAGTGGAGTCATACCATTGAATATTTCTTTTATTTCTAGTCTGAAGTACTTGAATTTGTCTCGTAACGATCTCGAAGGCGAGATTCCTAAACCGCTAGGTTCTCGATTCAGTGATCCTTCTGTGTTCGCAATGAACCTGAAATTATGCGGGAAACCTCTGCATAGAGAATGTGCAAGCATGAAGAGAAGGAAAAGGAGGAAGCTGATTCTGTTCATTGGCGTCTCGGTGGCTGGGGCTTGCCTTTTGGCATTGTGCTGTTGTGGCTATATCTTCAGCCTTTTGCGATGGCATAAAAGGATTAAAGAAGGTGTCGCCGGTGGGAAAAAGCGGAGCCCTGCCAGAGCAAGCACAGGAGTGGATAGAAGTCGTGGGAGTGGGGAAAATGGAGAACTAGTCATGTTCAACAACAAAATCACATTGGCAGAGACATTGGAAGCAACCAGAAATTTTGATGAGGAAAATGTCTTGAGCAGGGGAAAATATGGATTAGTATTCAAGGCCTCCTTCCAGGATGGAATGGTGCTCTCAATCCACCGCTTAGCGGACGGTTTCCTTGATGAGGGAGGTTTCCGAAAAGAGGCTGAATCCCTTTGCAAGGTCAAGCACCGAAACCTCACCATTCTCCGGGGCTATTATGCCGGTCCACCGGACGTAAGGCTTCTCGTTTATGACTACATGCCTAATGGAAACCTTGCCACCCTTCTCCAAGAAGCGTCTCACCAAGATGGGCATGTACTAAACTGGCCAATGCGTCACTTAATTGCGCTCGGCATTGCTCGCGGGCTGGCATTCCTTCACTCGCTCTCAATAGTACACGGTGATATCAAGCCACAAAATGTCCTCTTTGACGCCGATTTTGAAGCTCATTTGTCCGAATTTGGACTTGACCGGTTAACCATTTCGACCCCAACCGAGGGGGCTTCATCATCCTCCACCCCAGTTGGCTCATTAGGCTACGTATCACCCGAAGCGGCATTGACGGGGCAAGCAACGAAAGAAGCAGATGTGTACAGCTTTGGGATTGTCGTGTTGGAGATATTGACAGGAAGGAAACCAGTGGTGTTCACACAAGATGAGGACATTGTGAAATGGGTGAAGAGGCAATTGCAAAGAGGCCAAATTGCAGAATTGCTCGAGCCGGGTTTGCTCGAAATAGACCCGGAGTCATCGGAGTGGGAAGAGTTCTTGTTGGGAGTGAAAGTGGGGCTTCTTTGCACAGCCCCTGATCCACTTGATCGACCATCAATGGCTGACATTGTGTTCATGCTTGAAGGCTGCCGTGTAGGACCGGACATCCCATCGTCGGCCGATCCAACTTCACTGCCTTCCCCGGCTTGAAATTTTGTATTAAAAAAAAAGAACTAAGAACAGAATTACTTCTCAAAAGGAGTCATTCTTTTAAGCATTGTCATTTTTTTTTATATACTTTAGGTATCCAAAAAGGATGATGTTTATGAATCTACTCTTGTTGAATTCCCCGACGGCGCCACTGAAGGAATTTCTCGACGAGGGACCACTGTGAGGGTCAAAATTAGATTTTGACCTTTTTTTTGTTTCTCGTGAGAGTGAGGGAAAGTGACTTTTTTAAGGAACCACAAAAGCTTCATTTCCCGCCAAACAAAATAAGGTGAAGAGAAGAAAACGACAATGAATCGGGAGAAGCCACGTGGCGAGTCTTGAGAAAGGAAAAAGTAGCCGTTAATGTGACCTGTGAGCGGACTGAAGCTTCCTTATGGGAAAAAGTGACGCAAACTTTAGATCCGTGAATATGTCGGACCATCCTCCAAATTAGATTCTGATTTGAATTTTTAATTTAAATTGACATATAATATTTTTTAAGAATTTTTAATTGTAGTAAAAAAAAATTAAATGTGACATTTTTTGAGTATTTTTAACGGTAGGAATCTAAAAACTCGAATAAGTCTGGTTGAAATATTAACGTAATTCTTATATATTGAGTTGTAATAGTTATTATTTAGGAACCAGAAATCGTTTTTAAGCATATGACAATAAACAACCATCGTGCACTGCACCAAATAAATGTTCATACATGTCCGGATATGCCTATTAAAAAAAGAACTTGACAGATATAATCCTTCACAATAATATTATTTAGGTTTAAAAAAGATAGTCGGTTACGATAGAACGAATGATCTTAACAGTAAAAATGAAAGATGTCCGTAGTTTACTCATATTAAAACCGACAGTCGCTGTCACGCCCCCCAAACCGGGGTTAGTGACGTGGAGGCTCGTTTAGAAACTTAAACCTGTTAGAGAGAGAGTGATTAGCAATTAACGTTGCAAATAATTTAATTTTTCAAATCCAAAACGTCCAGGTATTTCTAAATGAGCCCCTTTCATTCAAGAGAAATTTAATTCAAGAATGGTGGTGGAATTTCCAACCAAACCAGTTTAAAACCACGTCCCTGGTATCATGTCAGGAATTCCCACAGGTGTTTAGCATACATGAATATAAACAAAAGTAAATGTGACATCAACCACAGTCTAGTAATATTTAAGTTTACAATCCACAATCTTTCATACATGCCTTAAAATAAAAGATAAGAGGGATACAACTCTTCGCTTCCCGAGATCAAGTCCATGTCACCGGTGCCTGGAGGGGTTTAATGCATTTGAAAACAAGAAAGGTGAGCGAAAGGCCCAGTAGGATATAATTTTATAAAGCATTTAAAATAAAGGTACTCACGGTCCGAAGATATACACCCGGAACCGATCATCCCTTTTTAGAAAAGAAAATACTCACAGTAGAAAATATCTGTATAATGAAAGTGTACAGCTCATCATACCACTAAACAAGAAGCGGTAAAAATGTCTGTATAATGAAAAGTGCAGAGCCATTATTCCACTAAACAAGAAGTGGATCCGTACGGGTTTCGGGACTTGCCCCCAAGGATGCGATTCCCACATCCCGATCTCTGTGGCCACCATGCGTTGTATCATTCCTTAAATATTTCATTTTAAGAAATGATACTCTTTAAAATCTCATTTCCAAAATCATTGGAAAACTTAATAGCATTCTCATGCCATTTCCTTAAAAATCATTTTCTTTAAACATGTTTTGTATTCTCATGCCATTTCCTTAAAAATCATTTTCTTTAAACATGTTTTGTTTTAAAACATTTTCATTGGTTAAAACCATTTAAAGTGAGGCTAACAAGGATATGGACAAGAATATCCTACCTGTTGGATATCAAACCTGTGGCTGTCTTCATGTAGCCCTAGCTCCGCTTGTCTTTGAGGCTCCAATTCCAATCATGCCACTAACTTTCCCATCAAAATCAACAATTTAGAGTTTGACATTTCTCATCAAACATTCTCGTTTAATTAGATGCAATTGTTTCATATTAGTGTGCCATAGTTCAAAATCAATGTTCATAAATAATTTTTAATTCAAATCATGATTCTTTGTAAATGGAGATTCATTCCGGAGAATCGAATGGAAAACAAGGATTCATGTGGCTAATCTACTCATTTTGAGTTCTTAAATGAGGTTAGGTCAATCCCACATCAAGTTTCGGGGTCAAAACAGGGTTTTCTGGGCTGTTTAGGAACCGATCGACCGGTGACAGAGAAGTGTAACTCCACCGGTCAGCCGGTGGAGAGGTGACCGGTCGACCAGATCGGTTGACCTATGGAAGGGTGACCGGTCGACCGGACCGGTCAACAGGTGGGGAAAATTTTCCAGGGCCAACAATGGCCGATTCGCGAGAAACAAAGCCAAAACCTGCAATTTTGGGTCCGATTTCGACATATTCTCAAGGGAAATGTATAGATCCAGTTTCAAATCAACACATGGGGTCCAAAGAATCAAAAACCCCCAATTTTCATCAAGGTTTCACCAAATCCCATTCGGATTCCATTTAAAAACAAAATTTAAATCAAAAATCACCAAACTCGACTAAAACGAGTTCCACAAAGCTGAATCCGAAAATCTAAAGTAAGTTTCGAAGAGTTTTACCTCGATCCAAGCTTTGATGTTGAAGACCTCTTAGAAATCTCCGTTTTTCTTCAAATCCGGTTCAAGAACGTTCTTGAGAGAGAGGGAAAACTTGAAAGAAAGAGAGAAGATGAGATGGGCGAGAGAGAGAGAGAGAGAGAGAGCTCGGTGAGGGAGAGACTATGAGAGAGTGTGAGGGTTACGGGAGAGGAGGGAAAAGGAAAAAAGGAAATGAGGAAAAAGGAAAAGGAGAAATAGGAGGAAAAGAAAATTAGGAAAAATAAATAAAATAAATAGGGGTGAAATTGCAAATACTAAAATAAATTTTAAAAGCTCATGATTAATTAAGAAAATCAATTTAGGCACACTAATAAACCACAATTATCATAATTAAACAAGTTTAATTCCGGAGGGCGTTACAGTCGCTTATTGATGTGCCTTTTAAATATTATTCATATATGTGTGCATGAGAGTCATTTATTGCTACATGCTTAAAAACGACTCTTGGCTTCCAAATAATAACTGTTATGACTCAATACAAGAAAATTATACTAGTTTTTCAACCGGTTACGATGACACATGAGCTGATTACGATGGCACATAAGGGATTTGTCCCCCATTTTTGAAGTGAAGGACTGTAGACAAGTCCTTTTAAAAAAGAAGTTAAATTTTTTTTTTGTTTGGTATAATGAGAGTAAAGAAATTACGTAATATGTTATTTTAACAATTATTTAATATCAATTTAGCTCTGGAATAGGGGTAACAAAAATATTTTAATCATTAATGAGTGGATTTAAGTTTTCTACTTAATGTTAAAGTAGACATGAAATTTTTAGCTATCCGGCCTAACCGGGTTGGGTCTACCCTAAATGGGAGAGGGATGGTCCATCCTGAAATTTTATAAGATATTTTAAAAAATATTTAAAAAGAGGACTGGCATGGCCCGAATAAACATTTAGGCTCGAAACCTTAGTTTGACCTGGCCTAAAGGTTAGGTCTGGGCTGGACCGAACATGGGCAAATAGTGCGCGGGCCTTAGGCCGGCTCATTTAACCTAACCTAAACTTATAGCTCTGTGTTAGAGAGATAAAAATTAGTGGGCCCCACAACAAATTTTATCCGCCCTTGCTCTCATCTCTTCTTTCCTACCAACAATCCACTTCATCATTTTTCAGCCAATAATCTCTCAACAACTTTTTTTCTTCTTTTTTATCATATCAAACATAATATAAAAATTTTTTTTTTTTTTTTTTTTTTTTTTTTTTTTTTTTTTTTTTAACTTCTACGATGAAAACTATTATTTTATCCTACATGTATTTTTAATGAATCGATTTATAAGTATCTAAATTAAAAATTTATGATACATACTATAGAATTACCCTTATTTACCAACCAAACCTTAAAAAAGCTAATCTACCTGCTAACCGATAAGTAATCGGTAGGATAAAATAGCAATCGTCCCATAGAATTTTTTTTCGAAGGCAATAAAAGCCGTGTTATTTGTTGTGAAGCAATAATATGGTAGCACGGAAGTTGTATGGTAATACCGGGTCCCACATCCATCAGAATTCAGATACTTATCGTATTTCACCAGAACACGGTGATAACAGTAAAGTCAAGACTCATATTAGCATGTGGCAGAACCAGAAAAAAAAAAAATAGCATGTGGCAGAACCAGAAAAAAAAAAAGTTAGCATGTGACAGAAACGTTTGATTGGAAGATTCAAATCATGTGATTTGAATCATTTTTAATTTATGTGAATTTTTTATGAGAGAAAATACTGCAACGAATTATGAACCTTGATTCAAATCAAGGAACGAATCCCTCTACCAAACATGTCAATCATGAACCTCACCCCCACCTAAAAATAAATAGATAAAAAAAAAAAAAACAGAATCATATAATTCAGTATCCAATTTAAGAGTTGGGAACCGGCAACACATTTATTCGGGTCAGGACATATGGAAGTCTGACGTGAATACACAAAGTGCAAGCAACGTGACTTGCATTATTCTTTTCCCCCTAGATTGTCATGCATCATTAAACTTGGCACTGTTAAGAGATTATTGTGGGCAGAAATTTGAGTACATATTTTGTAGACAGAAAGATGACCCACATCCGTTGCCTCATTCTTTTTTAATTTTTTTTTAAAAAGAATAAATGAACCTCCAAAGTAGTACTGACATAATAGCTACCGTTTGAGTGAGCAATCAATGTAGGCAATACGTTGTTTCACAAAATGTTGCTGCAGATTCAGTATTTTTGTGCCACTACAAAACAGCCATGCAATCATGGTTTGAACTAGGATCACGAGGTGATTAGAGGCAATGACCAGCATTAATAATTAACGCACCTTAGTGTGTTAGAAGAAAAAATAATCAACAGAGCTAAGTAATCTCGTATATAGATTATATATATCATTGCAAATTAAGCTGGCTGATTACACACGTTAACAAGAGAAGACTTCTAAGTCAAGAGGAGGACCGCATTTTCGCAATGCATTCATGCTAAATTTACCTATTTAACACGTGCTTAAGGCACACCAGTCACCATTTAGCTTCATGCTCTTGTATTAAGACGTCATGATACCGAATAGAAGCAAAAAGTGCAAAGGTCCTTTTACGGAATATAGTAATAAAATTTCCCTCATTTTATTTGTTTTACTAATGTACACAACAAACACACCGGCTATGGCATTTTATGTATACAACAATTCACTTGACTACATTTTAAAGCATTTAAGTTGTTCCATGGACGAATTTAAGAGTCATTTGTATGCCTAATTTAACTGTTACACACGGATTAGGGAGAAAATAGAAAAGATTACAGTGAACACCTGTCAGGCGGATGTCAAACCCTCGGGAATGGATTCGTTTTCGGGGTTGGATGAAATAAATCTACAGCAAGCATAGAAAACGGCCGAGTGGAAACCATTAGGGTTGTCTATGAACACGAAGTGCCCAGCCTGCAATTAGATTTCACGAAATAATTCATATCAACATCAGTGGGTGGGTTATACAAGTAATAATTCATGGATCAACTCAAAGCAATTAAAGGGCGATCACAAACAGACAGAGAAAAGGACCTGAGGAACTCTAATTATCTCGCAGGGGACCTTCATATGCTTGCGAGCTTCTTGAGCTCCTAGATAGTTCATCCAGTCTTGATAGCCGTATATAAAAGTTGTTGGCACTTTCCACTCTGATGCACTGTCCATAAAAACGCAAGAGGATCACATGCCAACTTTAGGCAGAATAGCAACATAACATAAACGTCTTTGACTTCACAAGTGGTAAAATATATTAGCTATATTGAAAACGCAACGGTAGTTAACTTATTACACAATTTCAACACTCAAGAAGACTATTTTGGACTTCAAGCAGAAAAGAAACCACGACAATTCATCAAGCAGAAGCATAACTTCATCTCTTCATATGACTAAAAATTCAAAAGAAAAAAGAGACTTTTCAGAGAGAGCTCAGAGAAGTAGGATTGTCACCTCTGTAGAAGGGGCATCCTTGCAAATGCTCCAAAAGAAAAAATATATTTCAAGCACAGCTCCCCACTAGCTTTAGCCGCTAGAGTATGGTACACATAATCTTCAAATGAAAACGAAACCATAAGAGAACTTGTAAATTATAAGGTAGGTCTAACATAAGATAAACATTGATATCAACTACCTGTTAGCAATTTGGACTCTTCTCCAGTAAGCATCTCCCCTGTTGAATAAGAACAAAACCTAGCAGTTGTGTACCTCTGGACAAGATTGGGGCCCCATGGACCTAAACCCCTATAAAAATACAAAAATATAAGAGTGCGTTTGGTAGATGGATCCATAATCATGATTCTGAATCCTTGTTCAAAATTAGTGTTTGTTTACAGTGATTCAAAATTATGATTCAGAATCAGTGTTTGGTTTGGATGATTCTGAATTATGATTCAGAATCTGATGTGATGTTGATAAGCCTCCCGTACGTTTTACATATGCTCGGAGGAAACACCACCACGAGCCAAGGTTGGTAGCTGAAACTCAAGTGGTTGCTGAGGTGGAGGGAAGTACTCGGGGAGAGAAAATAGGAAGTGGCTGAGTCAGCAGGCAGTTACTAGTTAGTTCTTGGAATTAGTGAGAGGAATAAGGCTTAGTAGTATAAATAGATTAGGAGGTTGAATAAAAGGGCATCGATTCATTTGTGCAAACTTCTGAGAAGTGAAAACCTAGGAGAGCAAGGGATCTCTCGAAAATCCCCTTATCTTCCTGTAACCAATCTTCCGCCATTAATACAAATCAAGCTTTCTGTTAGTTTTTCCTTGAATTTTGTCAAAATACTACTAACCGAGAAATAGGAGCTTAACATTTGGTATCAGAGCACTTTCCTGGTATGACGAGACGCACCGATGACCGCGAGAAGGAGAAGACCGAGGGAACGAGAGAGGAGGTCGCAAGGGAATTGGAGGAGGTGTGATAACTCTATGAAAATAGAGTTAATTGAGCATTTCCCAGGTTTAAATTATTACCTAGAGGGTAATTAGTATTAGTTTTCTCCTTTATTTTGTCTTGTTAATTGTTTTTAGTTATTTGCGATTCATAAATTCTCTCTCTCGTGAATAGTGTTTAAAAAGAGCTAATTCAGGTGCGCTTTGTGCTATAATCTCAGCTTTAAGAAAACGTGGTCGTTTGGAGCTTTGAGCAGCTTTTCGTTTCTGGAGTATTAAGGAATCCTAGTCAGCATTGCTGCAGCAAGACGAGCTGGGCCAGACGTGTGTTTTGCTGACAGCTGGACCTGAGCTGGTTAATGGGCTGATTTTGTCCGTGAAGGGTGCTGATTGAGCCACTCATTGGAGGCTTTCTCATGTGCTGCCACGTGGAATTAGGGTACAATAAGTACCTGCAGCTGAGAAGAAAGAAGGGGTCCTTGGTCATATTTTGTAACGTAGAGGCGGCTGAACTTGGAAAAGGAAACCACCTCCATTTCTCTGATCAAGTACCAGCTCCAGTACTGGAAAGAAGAAGAAGGAACCGCCACAGGGTGTTGAACGTAAAGGAAGGTTCATCGTGGATGAAGGAAGCGTTTAGAAGAAACCTTGGAAAATGGGGATTCTGATTCTCCTCTCTTCACCTTAGTTTTTCTTACTCTCATTGCTCTGTTTTACTTTGTTAAATAATATTTACGTTCCTTTATAAATCTGAACTCGAATCCATATATATATAACTCTATGAGATTATGATTTGTTGGCTGAGATTGTTGAGTTGTTAAATATTAAAATGTTAGTTGATGTTGAATGGATCTGATGATTATTTCTTTGTTTATTCAAGTGAGCTGAATTTGTGCCTTAACTGTGATTGGGAAATCATAAGAGGGGAGTATAGCTTTGACTAGATCTGGAAATATTTAGTTGAGTGGACACAGCTTGAATAGTGCAAGTTCTTAGATCTTGTTTTAGATTTTTGATTCACATGATATATGAATATATTGTGTCTTGCATAACCTTATGATTTAGAGCTTCATTATCTGATTTTAGAGTCTAGATTTGCAAAGGGATTTGTGAGATTTAGCTTTAAGGACAGTAGACAGAGGATTGGAAAATCCCTGGTTTAGTAAATCTGGTTAACAAGAAGTCTTCGTTGCTGTCCGTTGCTGCAGCATCGCGCAGCATTGATAGGAGACAGTTTAGCAATTGTGAGCCACGCACAGTGACTTTGGCCAATTTTATTTGCACATTTTGTTATTAATTAGTTTTATCTTTGTTGTTCATTTTCTTACAGTCAAATTATTATTAGTTTTTAACATCTGAAAATCAACTTTAGTTTTCTTCTTAAAACTTGAATAGAATTAACTTAGCAACTTGATTTCAAAAACACTCAATCCCTGTGGGACGATACTTGGTTATTCATCATTTTACTACTTGTTGACTCGTGCACTTGCGAGATTCTAGATTCACAATTTTAGGCAATAAGGTGCGAGATGAATTGAAGAAGATTCCTTGACTGGAGCAAGGTATGGACTTGCTGCTGGCAAGAATGGAGGAACTGATGAATCTCCAGCGCCAAGAACGGCGGAATTCCCAGACAGCCGGAGTAGAAGCTCCGGTGAGACAGACGACGCCAGGGGAAGAGACGAGCAAGAGAGTCAGGCAACCGCGTGAATCTGGAACGCGCGTCGACTGTCGGACCAGGCGAGTGGAGAATGCCGACGTTTGACGGCAAAAACCCCGATGGCTGGGTTTTTAGGGCTGAAAGATATTTTACGATGAACGGCCTGACGGCGAACGAAAAGTTGGATGTTGCAGTTGTCAGTCTTGATGGAGAAGCCTTGGCGTGGTTTCAATAGGAGGATGGACGGAGGATGGTTCGGAATTGAAGGTGATGATTCTCGAGCGATTCCGACCAACGCAAGAAGGCAGCTTGTGTGAGAAGTTGTTGTCCCTCCGACAGGAGTCGTCGGTGAGAGAATACCGGAAGCAATTTGAGGTCCTGGCAACGCCGTTGAGGGACATCTCCGAGCAGGTTCTGGAGAGTTCATTTGTTAACGGTTTGAAGCCTGAGGTACGGGCAGAGATAAGGCTGATGAAACTGATTGGGTTGGGTCGAAGTATGGAGGTAGCCTAGAGGGTGGGAGAGCGTAACCTTATGGTACGCGGCCCAAAAGGCCAAGGCCCAACGTTTCCGGTTTGGGGAAAAGGAAGTGGAATTAATGAACATAAAGGGAGCCAAACGACCACTAGTGGTCTGCGTTTTAATGGAGCCCCGAATGAAAAAGGTAGAACTCTAGACGAACGGAAGACAACGAACCAGGTCACGGGAGCAGCGCCCTTTCGGCGTATGACTGACGCCGAGTTGCAAGCTAAGAGGGAGAAGGGGCTGTGTTACCGGTGCGATGGGAAATATTTCTTTGGCCACCGTTGTCCGAATCGTGAGTTGCAGGTCTTGATTGTCCGTGAGGAAGAGGAATAGGGTGAGGCAAAAGTGGAGAAGACTGAGACGGCTGAAGAAGAAGGAATGGTGGAATTATCCCTCAATTCAGTCGTGGGTTTGACAGCACCGAAAACCATAAAGCTTAAAGCGGTCGTCCATGGTTGTGAGGTAATTGTGTTAATAGATAGTGGGGCTACCCACAATTTCATTTCTTGTGATTTGGTTCAGAAATTGAATTTACCAGTGGATAGGATGGGAGGTTATGGAGTGGTGATGGGAACCGGGTTAGCGGTGCGAGGAGAGGGAATTTGCCGGGGAGTGTTAGTTTCCATGCAAGGAATTGAAATAGTTGAAAATTTTTTACCATTGGAACTAGGAAGTTCAGATTTGATATTGGGTATCCAATCGTTGGAAACTTTGGGGGTTGTATCTGTGAATTGGAAGACCTTACTCATGAAGTTCAGTTTGGGAGGGAGGCAAGTGACATTAAAAGGTGATCCGGGATTGAACAAGTCACCGGCAACGCTCAAGGCTTTAATGAGGGCTTTGAGACATGAAGGACAAGGGGTTTGGGTAGAGTTAGGGGCTCTTGGTGTGAGACAGTCGGTTAAGGAAGAGGTAGTTCCTCTGGAATTGCAAAGGGTGATGAGTATATATGGGGAGGTTTTTGAAATGCCGGAAGGACTGCAACCGGTTAGAACTAAGGATCATGCAATTGTTTTGAAAGAGGGAACTTCCCCTATAAGTGTTAGACCCTATCGGTATCCTCACATTCAGAAAACGAAAATTGAGAAATTGGTTGGGGAGATGTTAGCGGCGGGCATAATACAACCAAGTGTCAGTCCGTATTCTAGTCCGGTTTTGCTAGTTAAGAAGAAAGATGGTAGTTGGAGGTTTTGCGTGGATTACCGCGCTTTGAATAGGGAGACAGTTCCCGATCGTTTTCCAATTCCGGTAATAGAAGAACTTTTGGATGAGTTGCATGGCGCAACGGTGTTTTCCAAGATCGACCTTAAATCGGGTTATCATCAAATTAGAATAAAAGCCGAGGACGTGCCGAAGACAACTTTTCGTACACATGAGGGCCATTACGAATTTCTCGTTATGCCTTTTGGTCTTACTAATGCTCCGGCGACCTTTCAATCGCTCATGAATGACGTCCTTCGCACTTTCCTCCGTAAGTTCGTACTCGTTTTTTTTGATGATATACTCATTTACAGCCATTCCTTGGAGGAGCATGCATGCCATCTTGGCCAAGTATTATCGGTTTTGCAGCGATACCAATTATATGCCAATGCTAAGAAGTGTAGTTTTGGCCAGTGTTCTATTAAGTACCTTGGCCATATTGTTTCTGCGGAGGGAGTTTCAGCTGATCCTACTAAAATAGAGGCCATGGTTAATTGGTCACCTCCCACAGATTTGAAAGAGTTACGGGGATTTCTCGGGTTGACGGGTTATTACCGGAAGTTTGTGGCCGGATATAGTCAAATTGCAGGGCCCTTAATCAATTTGCTCCGGAAGGATAATTTTCGTTGGGACGCTGAGGCAATGTAGGCTTTTGAAAGGTTGAAGTCGGCTATGACACGTGTGCCGGTGTTAGCATTGCCAGATTTCACAAAGCCATTTGTGCTTGAGTCAGATGCCTCGGGATTTGGTTTGGGGGCAGTTTTGATGCAAGATCAACGGCCCATTGCTTATTTCAGTCAAGTCCTATCCGCTCAAGCACGGAACAAGTCAGTTTATGAGCGAGAGTTGATGGCCATTGTTTTGGCCGTTCAAAAGTGGCGGCCGTATCTTTTGGGGCATCATTTTGTGATCCGAACAGATCAGCGTAGCCTTAAGTACTTGTTGGAGCAGCGTCTCGTTAGCATGGAACA